TAGCTATTCTAAACAACTGTAGTCCTTAGATATTGGTATTCACTAATAACAATAATGGTTCATTTTCAGAAATGAGTACAGGACAGGAAGAAACTAATATTTTTGTCTTATCCTGCCGCTCGGCAGGGCGTGGGTTGCTGGAGTGGCAAGGCAGGGCAGAACGAGGGTGGTGGAACGATAGAGTACAAGAAAATGAAAATATTCTATTTAACTGTCACCAAAGTTTTTCTTTACGGTTTTTTCTAATACTAATCATCATTTATTAAGCGTCATACTCATTAAAGATGACAGTTCTCACAATTGCAGTTGTGATCCATACTAATTTTAGCATCAAGCGACATAAATCGAAGATCAATAACATAAAATTGTTCACAATGCATAGAACACCAACACTTATCGGTTGCTGTATGTTCATTAGTGCTTGCATTAAGTTTTCATATGAGCTATCACTTTCCTCCTCTAGATATCAGAAAAATCTCCAATAATAGAATTCTCTCTTCACTTGGAGAAAAATTGCATCGAGTGTAATGGAGGTTTCTCTCTTATTTAATTAGTTATTCCGAAAGTATAAGGGTTAATTAGTATACGCACGCTAAATGATACCCAGCTTTCAAGACTTTGAAATGAAAATCTTAAAATAAGCGAATGTAATCGTATACCTGAATTTTAGAAATCCTGAAAATTCCTTCAAAATTCCCAAAATGATTTGAATCTTTTGCAAAATCTTTTTAATTAAAAGTTGTTAAAAATAAATGGAACATGATAGAAGATATTGATTCAAAATTTTTATGCTCGGGCATAATAGAAAGTTCGGGATTTTCAATTGTGGAACGGAGTTTATATTCTGTTATTGTAATATTTACCAGATTTTCAGTAAGACAATAGATGGATTCAGTAGACTTATCTTCTACACTCGAAAATTCTTTGAATTCAGAAAGACTCGAAAGTTTTCGTACCAAAAGATAAACTATCAACGATAAAAAATGAACCATAAGCAGTATTATAGTCTAGCTGAAACTCTTTTCGGCGTCCACCTAAATTTGATTAGCATAATACATACTCCTAGACCTTTGAATATGCTAGATGCTTTAAACCCTGCGACGCATTTAGTAATTCTACTGACGCTGGAATAGTATGTTTAAGCAAGATGAAAATAAATATTCTATAATCATGTCTTTATCTGCGATCATTGTTCAATGGAGTATTTCATCATCATCAACACAATCTACTCTTCTTCCCATCGATGCAAAAATTGCTGAAATTATATGGAGGGGTTGCTCAGAACATGAGAAAATCGTGGAATACATCAGACACAACATGATTAAAGAGTTAAATATTTGTATTACTGAATTGAAAACTAAAGGTGCGATTTTTGTCTTGGAAATGTCTTGTCCTGCCGCTCAACATGACGGCGTTGATAGCAGGGCAGAAGGAGACAAGACAGAAAAATTCGTCTTGTGCTGATCTCTATTCACTATCACTCTCAATCCTCTAAAACTTTGTACGTAAAATTAGAATCTGTGATCCATTTGTTTGCACTTTGATTGATCTAAAATTGACACTACGTTACTTAATCATAGAAGTATTATTTCGAGCTTCTATAGAAGCTCTCAGTAGATTTTATGAGATGAGGAACTCAAAAGAAATCTTATTGATTGACTAGGAACCATAAAGAAATGAGCTATTCTGGAAATTATCCTATATAGTTGTTTCAAGATGAAGAATTCAAATATGCGATCTGTTTTTGCAAGAATCCTATAGGTAGATCAGGAACCAATAGAAAATAAGTGTTTTGAAAAATTAATGTGTACCAATAGCTAAAGGCACGAATTTCGAGTGTTTGTGAGGGTTTAGGAGTGGACGAGCGAATCTATCTGTCTAGTCATTTCGAGTTGGCATCGTTTCGTAGCGACTTAGAGTCACCTGCAGTATGGCTGTTATTGTTTCCGAGCCAAATCGATCCGAGTCATATTTTTTTTCTCAAATAAGGTTTCTCGCTGTTGCTAAAAGAAATCTCAATGAAGAGTTCCTCTAAATACGACATCCAGTTTCTAGTATCTACCTGCAAAAACAGAAATAGAAAAGTTATAAAGTATAGAATGAGACGTATATTCTAAATTAATTAAGAAATAAAACTAGTAAAACTAATACTATTATATGCCATTTTAGGTCGTAGACAAAAAAAAACATTTTTTTAAGGAAACCCTTAAACTTAAACTTGTGGAGCAAAATAATTATCTACTAGAATTTGAATTAATGTCTTAGTGCATTGTAAAGTTCTAAAATGCATACATTAGTGTGGCCAAATTGTCTTTAACGTTGTAGTCTCATTAAAAAGTCGATATGAGAAAACATGTGAAAATGATGCTGATGTAGCGGGGCCGAATATCATAACGATTGGAAGATTAGCAAGTTATTTATGTGAAGTCACTTATTTGGAACTAACATCACTTGCTAAGTTTTCTTCTTGCAATAAAACATCAATTTCTTGTGTCATTGATTTTGGTAGAAACCTACGGGGAACTCTGAAACTCGATTTCAATTCCGGCAGAGTCGGAGTCGGAGTCAGCAAAACGAAATTTTCCGGAGTCGAGTTCACTGAAAAAATTTTTCGGAGTCAAATCGGAGTTGAAATTATAACAACCTCTAATAAACTTTTGCAATTTGATACTACAATAATTTTATTTTCCATATTAACAAACAAAAAAAGCGAAAGACAGCACTTACTACATATACTAAGAATGAATTTCAGTACAAAAAAGGGTCACCTTTTGGCTATAACATTCGAAAGATCAACCTCATAAAAACATGATACCATTAATCAAAAATATTTCAGTACATCCAAAGTACAATAATTCTCATCGTCATCAATTATCGATTGCTTGGTAGAGTCCTGCACGAAGCCAATTTGGAAGTTGTCACCGAAGTCTACTAAATTTTATGCTAAAAATTTCGCTTTAGCACAGGAAATTTTTTGAATTGTAGGTTTTGTTCTCTGATATTTACCGTATAAACTGATGCATTTTGGAGGTTCCATGGACGTGTTATTAAAACCTATGGACATGAAAGAAAGTCGAAATCCAACAAAATCGGAGTTGAACTTGACTCTGACTTTCTTTCTTGTCCATAGGTTTTGATAACACGTCGTTGGAATCTCCAAAGCGCATCAGTTTACACAGTAAATATCAGAGAACAAAAACTTACAATTCAGAAAATTTCCTGTGCTAAAATGAAATTTTTAGTGTAAAATTTAGTTGACTCCGACGATGACTCCATGCGGGACTCTATTGTTTTGACATAGTACATGTCGAATACTTCCTAGTTATTGTTTGTTTTATTTTCACTGCACAACAAATGAAAAAGAAATTCAAACTTAATCTTTCAATGATTCTTTGATTTTCTTTTATTCCTTTGCTTGTTTACCGATTTATACATGTTCAAAATTAAACAATAACATATATAAGAGGTCGTTTGCTTTCGAGAAAAAAATTTTGGAGTTTTACGGAGTTGGACTCGGAGTCAAAAAATAGAAATTCTCTGAGTCGGAGTTGGCATCGGAGTCATAAAGAAGAAATTTTTCGGAGTCGGAGTCGGGTTTCGGAATAAAAAAGCCTGACTCCGCAGGTCTCTACTTCTGTGGCAACAGATCTCATATTTGAATTCTCCTCTTGAAACACGTGTGTACAGCAATTTCAAGAGTAGCTCATTTCCTTCTAGTTCCTAGTCAACTAATAGAGTTTCTATGAAACTAGACCTTTGACTCGCGTTCCTCGTCTCATATAGGCTATTGATCGCTTCGACGAAAGTTCGAAATAATGCTTCTATGCTTGAGTAATGTGGTTTCAATTCTAGACCAATCGGA